ATTGAAATGTGACTGTATTTTACAAAATATTAGTCGACTAAAACACAGCCAAGACAAGTTACTTTGTACAGACCAAAGGTTATTATGTTATTTGATAACGTAACATGAGTCGCGTCGTTGTAACTTCTGTATTGTTAGCCGTGCACAGGTAAAAGGTCAATATAACAAATATACATAAATGTATAATGTTATGATATTTAAGCTATTTCGTCTGAACAGTTATGTTTTTGTGTTCATTCTAGAATGAAAGAGGCATAATTTATGTTTATTTCCTAAATTTTTATGGTGGTTGCGAGATCGTTCAAATCTGTAGAGATTAATTACTGAAAATAACATATAAAATGTAAAGTATTTTCTTAAGAAATGTTTGATAACTATCTGGACACTATAAAGATTTCGTATGTGAAATTTGATGAGAAAGTGCCAAACCTGGAGTTAAGACACAGCTCCAACGGTACATGGAATCGACGATGGTGACCTCCTAATCGATATAAATGGAATTAAGCCCAATTAGCTAGTACAGTCTGTGCGTGTAGGATCACTCACTGAAAGGAAGTAGCAACCCTTACTTTCCAAACAATCAAGTGACGTCCACTTGATTACTTCGATACTGAGGGAGCTGTAACTAGTAGATAAAATGCCTAGTACACCAATAATTTGCACAACTAAAGATGATAATTAGGAGTTTGAAAACTCAGTTGAAAGGGATTTGCGACTTTTGATTTCTGAGCTGCTGATTGGTTTTTCAGAAGCAAAACATCTGAATGTTTTGCTAGAATCACTCGGCTTATCTAGTCAAGTAGTGAGATCCCTAGCTAAAAATACTGAAAGGTATATAACTTCTCCATATGAAGTGAATGAGTTGTTCAGTGTTTGTTGATATATACTGTAGTAAAGCACAAATATTCATCCTTATGTACGAGAATTTTAACTAAAAAGTCTCAGTTTAGCTGAATTCTACTCATGATTATCTGTTTTGCGATGCCTCAAAAGAAAAATGTGTTGAATTTGACAGCTCATATCTAACAGTAAGCCCCTCTACAAGAAACATATTTACAATATTGTTTTACACTATATACAAAGACTGTTTTCAGTTAATACACAGTCCATTCATTACAGTCTGCACCAACATTTGCAGTCCCCTTGATGGGTTCAAAGCAAAACCGATAGTTCTGGAGATACAATTCCCACCTCACAATTCTTGCACTGTTGATTTTGTACCTCTGGATGTATTCAAGGGGCTAATGGTCCATCTGGATGATTATCTCCTTCCTGTAGAGGTAATTCTGGAACATCTGGATGGCAAACATGATGGCCAGACACTAGTTCGATCACAGAGTAGTTCTTCTCACTACTTAACAGCTTTGTACTTACATACATTTCTGAAAACAGACTTTCTTCATGTTCTTGTAGGAGTACTGCTCCAATTCCTATGTCTGAAGCATCAACCTGAATGATGAAAACTTGAAGTCTGGCATTCTAAGGTTTGGCAAACTTCTCAAAATATTCTTTAACTTCTGGAATGCCATTTGCTGTGGGTGTTCCCACTTCACCTTGTTGGGTAAGCCTTTCTTGGTCAGATTAGTCAGTGGTGCAGCAACTTCAGTGTAATTTGGGAGGAACTTCCTGTAGTATCCCACTGACCCTAGAAAACATCGGACTTGCTCTTTGGTTGTTGTAGCTGGTGTATCCTGTATGTGGTTTAGTTTCTCTTCTTCTATGGCTATCTGTCGATTGCCCATCTTGTGTCTAACACAGATTAGCCAACGTAGCACTTAGATGGTCAGACCTGCTGCCCTCAATCATCTGAACAACTCTAAGTTTTTCAAGTGTGTGGGTCAGAATGTCATCCACATAATGCTTGATGTTGGTAGTTTTGTAAAACATCTTTCTCATCATGAATTTGAATGTTGCTGTGGAGTTGACTAACCCAAACAGTATTCTCTTAAACTGGTAACATCTGTCCAGGGTCACAAAGGTATATTTTCTTTAAATCCTGTCTCTGTCAGGATCTATGAATAACCTTTACCGAGGTCGATCTTGGAAAAGAACTTGGCCCTGCCTAGTTTCACAATGATAGTCTCTGGGTTGCCCATAGGTTCAGAGTCAAACTTCATCATGAGATTTCTCTTCCAGAAGTCTATGCAGAAGTGGTTTGAGCCATCCCTCTTTTTCACTTATGTTGATGTCATCTGCATCTAGTGGTCTTAGATCTAGTAGGTCTTCATCTTCTAAGATAGAGTCTGTTTTTTTTAGTTCTGCATTGTCCATCTGAACCACAATAGCTGCACCCATTCAACAGATTCACGTGGTAGATCTTGGTCTTCCTGTCCACATTTACTTTATAGTCCATTCTTTTGACCACTCCCTGTACTTAAAAAGGTCCTTTCCACTGCAGGGTGAATTTGTTGTTATCCGTAGGTAGCAGAACCAAGGCCTTCTATCCGACCTTGAAACACTGATCTTTGGCCTTCTTGTCATAGAAGTGCTTCTGACTACCTTGAGCTGCATACAAGCTTTCTCGAGTGAGATAACATGTCTCCTCCAGTTGGTTTCTGAGGTTCTAAAACATACTAGTGTGTGTTCCTCACTTCTGAGTTTTATTTTCCTGTCCACAGCTCTTTCAATATTTGCATCGAACCACGTGCTGCCTTCTGTACATCCACTCAAAGGGTAAAAATCCTGTACTTGCTTGTGGGACTTCTTGGTAAGCAAATAACACTGTCTGCAGATACCTGTCCCAATCATGTGGTCTCTCCTGGTACATCTTCTTCAGCATGCTCTTTAAGTCTCCATTCATTCTCTCACAAAGTCCGTTACATTTGGGGTTGTATGGGGTGGTAAAGAGTTGCCTAGTGCTAATGAGTCTACACACCTTTTGCATCAGTTCTGAGGTAAACTGGATCCCTCTGTCACTCAATACTTTTTGGGGAAGTCTACTCTGCAGAACACTTCCAGGAGGGCTTGTGCTACTCACTCCATTTCTATCTTCAGCAGTGTTATAACTTCTGTATAACATGTCTCATAGTCGACTACTGTCAGCACATAACCAGTTGCCCTTGTAAGATACAGGTGCTAGTGGTCCAATCAAGTCCACAGCTACTCTACTGAATGTTTTTTTTATATGAGAGGCATCTCACCCAGTGGTACCTTCCCTCTAGGTATTGTCCTTTGACACGTGTCACATGACCTGCAGGATCTGGTCACATCTCTGATGACCCCAGTCAATGGAAATTGCTGGTGATTTTGTCAGCCATCTTCATCACATGATTCCAGTATTCTGTTGGTAATATGATCTGTTTAACTTCCCCAGTATAACTGCCTTGATAGATCTGATACAGTACTCCCTTCTGGTCTATTACTTTGTAAGTGCTTTTCCCCTCTGTCTTGTGCTCGACTTCCAAGGTTACTCCAGTGAAGGGTCTTTCTTCTGTGATTCCTTCAGTTCCTGTAGACGTACATTCGGGATGTCGCCTTTTGAGACTTGCAGGGGCTAGATGTATTGCTTGCCTTTTTTTTGTGACTACAGATGCATCACCAATCTCCTTTCTGTCTGGTTCCTCCAAACTTCTACTACCTGGTATATCGACAATCACAGTCACAGATGGGTGCCTTCATACACATGGCCTCAAGGTTTCCCACGTAATATGGAGTGTCCACCCTTATCCTTGTTAAGGGAAACTCTCTCACTGTTCCATCAATCAGCACACAAAGATTTACCTTGCCCATCATCTGGTCATCAGATACAAGACTGGTTCTCACTGCTGCACTCAATGTCTTGCAGGATATTCACTTTCTTGTCCCCGACATAGCCTTCACTTAGTGCCATATTGTGATATATTGGCACCTCTTGATGTTTGCCACATGCTCAAATCACCAGTGGCATTATTGACCCATTTGCTAACTTGAGCTGACCATCAGTCGTGCACTATTTAATCATGGAGACAGCACTTCCTTCTTGTAGTGAATCTGACATGTTGTTTCTATTGTTTCTTCTGGCAACAGCATTCATGTTGATAGTCACTCTTTTCTTGTCACTCCAGCACTATCTCTATAGGTAGTTCCACCTGCTTTATGTTGAGATTTATACTGTTACTTGTTGGTGACAGAATTTCTCAATGTGCCCCATTTTATAACAAGCATAGCATCTCTTCTTCCTTTTGCCTGTTAAGTTCTTGTCACCTTTGGTGGTTTCCTTGTCTCTGGTTGGTCATCAACTATAACTGGTTATTCTTGGACTTGCCAGTTATACTCCCTCCATGGGCTTCCATATACTGTTCTGCCAACTCGATCATCTCGTCCACGTTTTTTGGTGCTCTCTCATTTAGGAACAGTGTCACAATCTGTTGAGCATGTGATCATGAACTGTTCACGTATTAGTAGATCTGCCAGTCCTTCAAAACCATTTTCACACTTGGGCATGTCAGTCCACCTTGTATCACCATAGATGTGCCACAAACTGAAATACAGCAGTTTATCTGGTATCAGGTTTGACTTCTCTGAACTTCTGATGAAAACCTTCCTCTGTACATTCGCAATGTTTCGACAAGGCCACTTTTAACTTGTCATAGTCCATGGCATCATGCCTACATACACTTGTAGGTCAGTCCTGTGAGAAGTGGGCTGAGACAGACTGCCCACTGACTTTGGGAAAATCTTTCATATCTATCCAGGAAAGCATATGACATCTTTCTGTTCATCAACTATGGGCAACTTGTGTCAGCTGGCCCTGACCCCACTGCCATTCTTGAGTCCTTTCGGTTGGGTGAGCTTTGCAATCTCAAATTGTGCTCTTATTCTCTCTCTCTTTTTGCAGCCTCCTTTCTTCCTCTCTCTCTGCTATTCTCGCTCTCTAATTCTTGTTGTTTAACAAACTCTAGTAGATCACTATCCTTTAGCCCAAGTCACTTACCTCTCTATCCATTTATTAAAACAAGTGATTGTAATATTTACATTATTTTCGCCACCACTACACTTGTTCGTATATATGCCTACTTCTGCTGTCTTTCACATTTTCTTTTACTGTCATTTACTACTGTAGTATCCTGGCTGGCTCGCCAAATGTCAGGTTTTATGGAGCCATCTGACATTTCAGTGATAAATTTGAACAATAAACGGAGAGCACACAATCCACTTGTTTTATATTAATATATTCAAAACAAGTCAAACATATGTACAAAACTTCGTTACACTATTGCTATCACAGTTGTACTCAGAGCTTTAAATAATTGTCTCTATTTCATCAAAGTCCACAAAGGCAGGTTCAATTACTTTAGAACACTGTTTAACAAAACTAATTTTTCTCCTCTATCTCTTTTATTACGATACCAGCTGTGAAACTCACTTTAGAAATCGCCACTATACCCTCTTGATGACTAAACACACAATCACGCAGTATACTAACTTCACTTTTACCTTGACTAACTTAAATCTCTTATATATATATATATATATTTCCCGACTGAGGCCTATAACTTTCTACAAAGTACAAGACGTTATGATGTAACGATACTCACTTAAAGCAGCAAGAAAAATTCAAAAAGTTCGTGTCACATGACGTCAATTAAAAACAATTGAACTATGCAACAAATGATTCATAAAAAGTTATGTAAGTAAATTTACCATAACTATCACCTCTAAAAATAACTCACTTTAATGCTCACACAATATATACTAGATAATACTTAAAATGAAGAGTCATGTATATCTAACACTCAAGCCAGTGTCTTCTTAACACCTAAAAGGATTTGAAGATGATAGAGTGCTTTAGAATGTGGAGACTGTGGTAGTACCAATTGTATTCATTGCTTCTATTCACTTAAGACTGCACTCTTACCATCATCATTTTATAAAATCCTTCACTAACAAAGTTTATCCTCTATAAAAATTACTTGAAGGGTCAAATGGGTTAGTGAAATGAGTTTTGTTGGACTATTGAGTGTGAATAAGCATTTTAAAAAACTGAAGAAATAACTGACCACTACTCCTGTATTAGCATACTCAACTCTTGAAGATCCACTTATTTTAGAAACAGATGTCAATGATTTTGGAGTGTTGTCAAGTACAAAGCAGAAAAAAAAAAGTATGTAATTGCCTACTATAGCAAAGCAATGAATGTTGTAGAAAGAAGGTATTGTAGAACTCTGAAAGAGCTACTAAGTGTTGTTAGTGCCCCAAGTCATTTTGCACATTTATGTATATGGAAAAAAGTTTACACTTTGGACCAATCATGCAGCACTGAAAATGGCTGGCGACTTTTTGCAATACAGAAAGCCAGATAATAAGGTGGTTGCAAAGACAATTTTAACACCGTGCATCACCCTGGATCAAACCATGGAAATGCTAACACATTGTCCTAAAGACCGTATGTTAATAAAGAATGTGAACTCTTTTGAAAAAAGGAAGCACAATATAGTAAAAACCTTGAACTTAAAGTACAACATAGTGTAATTCAGTATGTGATTCCACAAGTGATGATGAAAAACTAATGTGTTCCAACAATCAACTAAATGATCAGGCAAAAGAAACAAGTTTAAAATTATTATTTAGTTGGTCAAGAATAGTGCAGAACACTCCTCACAGCAAACAGTAACTTCATATAGTTCAGAGACTGATGTTTCGGCACAGTGAAATTCATTATGCATACAAGAGTACTTGTTATATTGGAAATGGAAAGATAAAAAAATCTTCTATCTCACACAGGTTTTTTTATGTTGGCAAATTCTGGACAAAGTTAATCTTCGAAGGTTCCATATAAACTCCCTCTCTGCTGACTATGTGTCTCAGGAAACTCACCCGTTGACAGTACAATTTACACTTCTTGGCATTTAGCTCAAGGGTTCTCTTTCCTCAACCAATCCAGAATTTTCCATAGCCCATTATATGTCATATCAATGGTCTTCTCATGTGTGGTTATTTCACCCAATTAGATGAATACAATGTTCCAGAGCAGCTCCAACAGAGCATACTTCATCGATCATTATAATGTAAATGTGCTTTACATAATGCAAATAGTAACACCAAAAATTGCCACAATCGATTTTATGAGTGTAGGTTGTCTTCTCTCTACTTGATCTTTCAACTTGCATTTGCCAATATCCACTCTTGAGATCCAATGTTGAAAACAATTTGGATCCAGACAGAACATCCACAGTAGAGTCGGTCTTTTGAGAGTTCATTCATTTGCTAATAGTCCAAGCAGAATCTTGTGGATCCATCCTCCTTATTCACAAGTACAATAGGTGATACCCAAAGACTAGTACTCGGTTTTTTCCACTCCTTGTTCTTCCTGGCATCTATCTCCTTAATAATCTCAGCCTGTTTGGGGTATATGAGAGCCATCTGACTAATTGACATGTTGGGGATGAATCTCCAGTATCAATCTTGTGAGATATTTTATTAGTTTGGCCTAGATCACGAGGTACACTGGAGAAAATGTCTTGATATTCAGTGAGCAAGTTATTTAATCTGTGATTGTAAGATCTCCACAGGTCTAGTGATAAAGCTCTTGGAAGTGAGGTGGTAAGTTGTCCTTATGTAAAGACTTGACATCAAACTTCCCACATCTTTCTTAAAAGACGACTACTTCTGATATTCTTTGATTTGAAACTAATACCTGTATAGTCTCACATTCTAAAGTATCTTATTCAAATTTGACTCGAATTTTATGGTTTGTTGTGTTCATAGCCACAATGGAGACATCTTTATTCTTCAGATCCAAGGGGAGTTCTTCTAACCATTTATCCTTCAGGACATGCTGGAGTGTTTGGCTCTACTACATCACAGTCACTACATATAAATTTATTCCTAATAACTCTTAGCTTTTCCATGTTCCTTTGATATGGCTAGGCCCAAGAAGACCCATCCTTAGGGTATTATCTCCTTGGTGTATGAACAGCTGTTGATTCCTGACAATCTCGGCTGCAATGGTCGGGTTTCTACATGTATAACATTTCTCCCTTTCTGGTATACTTTAAAGGGTTCTTATTCCCTACAGACTTTTGTGTGGAGTTCCTGGCA